TCTTGAAAGACTCTTTCGCTAAAGATTTTGAAGACATCCGCGTTCTTGTGACATGTAAATACTACGCTTCCTATGTTTTGGTGCAGACTGCGTTCACACCAGCAATGAACCGCTCCAGAGTTCGCAAGCAAGCGCTCCGAGACCACCTCTTTTAACGGACCAGAGTCCGGTTGTTCAGTTCATTTCAGAGGTCCCGGACTGTTTCACACCGACCCAAATGAACCGCACCAAGCGGTTAAACGCACCAGGGTTAGATTCAACCGGACTATAAAAGGCTGGTGTGAATGCACCGTTATCTCAATGGGTCTCAAACGGTTTGGTCACAAATTATTCAAAAGATTATTTCCGCGGCACACCTTATGATCATTATAGTCTATGGCAGTAAAACAAGAATAGAGTTTAAAAGGAGAGTGATTTGTAAAATATCCATAAAGAAAAAGAAAATCTGTTTACAGTTCTGTTTCATATGGGTGTTGAGAGATGTATCTATAGATCTCTTAATGTTGCTCTCAAAGTGCACCAGATTGATGCTTTTAACTTCAATATTTAAAAAAATTCCACTGTAGCGCCGCGGCCGCCGCCACTCTGGGCTAAGCCCCGAATGTTTTCAGGTCCAGGCGACGCCCCTGCTGAGTGATATATATTATACACACTGCTCTGCTTTCTGCATGGACCTCACAGCTGTTCTCTCTGTAAATATCGCATCGCGCTGAGAGCAGTTAATAAAATAATATCCAGGGGATGCATGCAGAGCTATCATTGGCTGAGATAAGTCCGGCCGTGCGTCACGGCTCTTTGAAACATCTCTGTTGCCGGAAATGCATCCACGAAGGAGCCGTGGAGGAACCATCAGTCTATCCTCGGTTAGAGCTCCTCCAGAGAGCCTCCTCCATGCTCGATCCTCTGTCCTCGAAGTGCATTTAGAGAAATGAGATGTCCTTCAACATGGCGCGCTGAAATTCATTTCCGGGTCACTACCGGAGGACCGAGGAGTCGAGGAGTCGAGGAGGGGAAATCTTTGAAATGAGACACGGCCCATGTTCCCTTAAGTGTTTACATCCCGTCTGTCTTCTTCTGCTGTTCCCTTTAGTGTTTAAATCATGTCTTTCTTACTATGCTGATTTATCTGTCCTCCAGCTCTATTTGTCTTTTAACCTTTAACCTTTTAATGAAGGTACACAATTGTGTTGTTTTTAGCCCTAGCTGACATTGATTGGACTTCTTTCTGCGGACTGATATAAACTGCACAGGGTCGTCAGCAACGGTCTGCTATGCTTAGCAATGTTCTGCTATCGAAAAGGTGCAGACCATTAGAATCGAGTATTAATCGAAGCCGTGTTATAACAAATATTTGTTTTATGATGACGGTTAGTTTAGTAAACTGAGAACATGTATCACTACAGAAACGTGTCGTACACTTGGCGCTCATAAACACACATCAACAGTAGAGTGATGTCATAAAAAAAAAGTTTCGTTTCCACAACTATCTGATGTGAACATATTAACCTTTTTTAGAAGGATATACAAATATGAAAACATATTTTAATTAATGTTTCTTTGGTTTGTTATGGCTTAACATGTGAATGTTGCTTTATATTAGAAAATCCAAGTTTCAATAGAACTGGAGAAGTTTCTAAACTACTGCTCCTGTTGTTCTAGTTGCCGTGTGTTGGATTGCTTTTACTTTTGTGTTTGTACTGACTAGATTTATTGCATAAACCTATTGATGTATTTTTATCATGCTGTGCTCCATGGCTGTTCACCGTGTGCTTGTTGTGGGCCTGGTGAGGGCTCTCTGCTAATTGTTTTAGTTGGCATTGATTTTTTCCCCAGTTCTTTTCATATAAAGCATGTCTTTGTTATCTCTCACTCTCAAGTACAATATTGGCCGAGCACATTCTCATGGGTAACAACAACTGGGTAAAAAAACAAAGGACATGAATAATGTCAAAACAAGAAGAAATGTGGCAATTTCAATATATCACTCTTGTGAGCTGATATGAGGTGTGATGTGATTGCCCTTGGTAGGTTCAAGTACAATAAGAAATGCATACTTATATAATATAAAAATGTATATATATCTAAGAGAGCTGGTCTCTTTTGGTAACTTAAGCCATCCTGAGATCACATGACACAAACATAGTTAGAAATAAGTCTCTATTCAAAGGCTATGTTTTCCCATTACTAATGTCCCATTGCTACTAGACAAACCCAATGTTCTTCCATACTTGTAATTATTATGTATTTTGCCTCATATAATTAATTGTGTGCATTCATATCCATCCGCAGAAAGATGTCTGGTCAATTTAAAGGAGACCTATCATGCTATATTTGAACAATATATTGTAGGGCCATACCTATATAAAGTATATAAATATAGTTTTTTTTTTTCAAAATACCAAAAAGATCCTGCATTTTAGCCATGCCTCATTTCGCTCTATTTGCTCTTTCCAGCGCTGTTTTTGCAGGGGGCTGATTCTGTGAGCTGCAGCTGACCACGCCCCCCTGCAGGAGAGGGGAGCGTGCTCAGAGATCAGCTGCTGGGCTGCAGCGGGGAGAAGAGGGGGACAAAAAGAGATCCACCGTGTTTTATTCTTATAGAAGTAAGAAGAGAAGTAATGGGGCAGAAACCCTCCTTTTTACGCAGCGGTCCAGACATAGACATCAAACGGCGACACATATTCAGTGTGCAGTTACTTTGGCATTAGGGCAGGGATATCTAGATACTTTCCAAGGTTTGCCATAATGAATTGTGCTACTTTTAAAGCAAGCAACGATGTTTTCAAATCTGTAATCAAAAAGCTCCTCAAAAACACTATCGAAGCACTTCCTGCCGTTGCTACGTTAGTTCAAACGGTAACAACGGACTATTTCTCTTAGCGGATGCATGTCAATTTAAATCAATAAAAGCATTTCAATTAATATTGGGAGTCATGTTGTTACTTGTTCGAGAATGTGGCCATGTAATAAGCGGGATAATGTGCCTTCATGCCGATCTAGATCCCTCCGCTTCTCGTCGGGCTCCTGATCAGCCTGTCGGTGTTCTTTTCCCTATAATGACCGCGTCGCTGCACATTATCCCTTACTTATGATTATATAGAGTCATTATTCATTTGTTTTAAATCAGGAGGCGCAAAAGCTTGCCTCGGGGAGGGAGAAAAAGAGCCACAGCGGAGAATAAACAGAAGGGCAACCATGGCAAACATGCAAGGGAAGTCTTCTTCGCTGCTTTTGTGGCAGACTACAGCGCCACTTACAGGCCTGGCATATGTACTACAGCGTCTCCAGCGCTTTCGAGCAGCAATGGCCGGCCCGTGGCCCAACCTCTCATTCCCCTGATAGGTGGATAATTGACCAATAGCCGTAGCGCCACTTTACTGACGTCAGTAAAGTATTCAAATCTGGATCAGTCAGTATCAGATCCGTTGCAGCCCCGTTTTTAGAGATTTGGGTATGGAGGAAAATAGAGAGGGTTGTGTTTTCTGACACTTGGTGAGTTCCCTGGAACACCGGGGACACATATTCATGTATAAAAGACGTACAAAAGTGCATTTTGCATGATAGGTCCTCTTTAAGTTAAGTTGTGTCGAAATCACATTAGTTTTCTGTTTCTCATTCTGAAAAAACTCCATGAAATATTTGTTTTAATATTCAAAGTGTCTTGTGTCTATAATGACCAACTCCCTGCACATTTCCCTTACATCATTATTAAAAATATACTTTTCCCCAATGTACAGGCAAGGATATTTCAATGGGTTTGAAGCGACGTATTTGAACAAAAAGAAGGTAAGCTATATCTAGTTGATTAAAATGCCATTAAAGTTCTTTAAAAATCAGACACATTTGATTAAACATTATCTTTGCTACAGTGCGACTATCTTCACAGTATTAAAATAGTTAACTGGTTAAAGATGTTCTATTATTTGGCGTGGGACACAGTGTGTTTGTTAACAATGAGCATGTAACACATACTAACCTTTGTCTAATAAGCTATTGGACTAATTAATGGTGATGATGATGATAGGGATGAGGATGATTGCAGTGACCTCAACGCACAGCAGCGAGAACACAAGTGTGAAAACAACAAAGCTTTGTAATGTGAATCCAACCCCAAATGTTCCCGCCTGCAGCCTGGGATAAAGAGCACTTCCAGTGTGGTGTCATAACAGCATGCATGAATTATTTACATACTGCATGCAGTGTTTATTTGCCTGCTTTTTGTTCTTGTCAATACTCACTTGCAGCTCAGTTTCCAATTTCAGCGCACAGTGAGTAAACCTGTTTATTTTGTCTCAGGCACCACTTTGTTTTGAGCTGTAACTAAAATGATCTTGAGCCGCTGGACGAGGAAATATAGTTTTATTCATCAAGCAGTTTGGATCAATACCAACCATGTTAAAGAGTGTACAATGTTTAGTCTTTGAGCAAAAGAAGAAGAGAAGTAGAATAAGTCTTCTCAGTGTTAGGTCATGCTGTCAGATCAAAAGCTGAACTGCCGACAAATAGTTACAAAACACAGCTCAGCCGCTTATTTTGTCCTGAAAGCCATTACAGCAGGGCTCCTCGAAAATTAACATAACACAGACCCCACACAGGCACACCCGCTGAGCTGCACCTGGTTTATCTCAACACAATTAAAATGTATTTCTCATTTCATGTCCAACAACACATGTCAATATCCACTTGGAGCCTGCTTTACAATACACTTCCGTCTTTATAGGAAACAACTTGTTTGGGTTTAAATAACTATGACAGTGATACATTTTGTTTGGTAACTTCATCAAAAACGTATTTGTTTTATGAGTCAAGAAGTATATCAGTATATCAAGAAATATGAACATCTCCAATCCCCATGGAAGTGTGTACAATAGAAAAACAATGATTGATTGACTGTTTTGGTGCAGGTTAATTACATGTAATGTTATCTGAAGACTTAACTTAAGAAAAGCACTAATTGATGTTTTGCAGGATAAACTAATGGAATATTCCAGATGTCTCACCTTGCAGCAGGGACGTTGCCGTTGTCACAGTCTCCGGTACGCCATCCTTGCTGTAGATGGACTGGAGGAACTCTGGAACGCAGTCATTTTCATCAACTATGACAACTCGTACCTGACAGAGGAAGGAGAAGGGGAGAGGAAAAGATTTAAAGAAGGAGGAAGTAAATGACATAAACCTACATAACACACGCTTTTCACTTATATAAAAGACACAAATGTCACATGTAGTCAAAGGGGAGGTTAGGTTTTTGTTTGGGCAGGATCGTAGAAAAACGCGCAATTTGCTCTGGATTGGCCAATCAGATCTGTACTACCCCCTGAAAGTAGGAACAAGGTACTCCTCAACAAAAACACGCTTGTTTGATATCCTGACTCCAAAATGGTGGAACAAGCTCCCCATTGATATCAGGACAGCAGAAAGTGTTCCCATCTTTTGTCGCAGAATGCAAACCCACCTGTTTGTAACAACAACAACAACAACAACAACAACAACAACAACAACAAAGGACTGCTTGAAAGATGCACCAGCACTTCCAATGGTTTGGTTATTTAAAGCAAAGGTTATTCACGGTTAAATTACTGTAGGTTACTTTGGATGAAAGCATCAACTATACAAATTCAACTAAAAACGGTTGGCCCAATTTTTGTTAAAATTGGTGGAAAGTTGTGCCAAAGAAAATGTATTACATTTTTGAGACGATCTGATTCACTGAGCGGTTCACATATTATGTTTAGCTGCGTTACCTTGAAAGAACATTTATGTGGGGTCAGAATAATCAGGAAAAGGTACTCTGCCCTCTAAAGTTGGAACAACCATTCCGAAACTGTTTTCAGCGTGTGTGAAAAGAAAATACTACACATTCTTCTTTTTGAGGTACTAGTTGTTTAAAAATCAAGACTTAAAGCTCCAGAAGTAGAACACACTGAAGTCCGAACAATGACTGAGAAATTGGACTATCCTAGGAGCACTGAAATGCACCATTGGGCTTGGCGGAGTGCCGGATAGTTCCACATGTTTCAAAGTGATATATGGCAAGAAAAACTGTTTAAGTCGAACAAATGATTTCTTAGTTTCAATAACCTAATCATTTTACTTTAATACTATAATTCTACTTGACATTTCATTGGCAATCAATGGGAATCACCTCACTTAACGGAAACAAAACATTTGTAATTCATAAAAGAAAAATAACTGGAACAGACTTGGTGTGTCTGATCTCATGCAGAAATGCTGTTACTGTATGTACATAAACGGCCCAGGCAATCACGTAGGAATGCTGGGGATTAAAAGTCACACAGGCTCGGTGTTATGAACATTTTAAATCTGGGATTACCACTTCAGGCACTGTCCGGAATTGGTTTTCTGTGGGTCTGGAGTCCTTTTCATCTGCGAGTAACCCAAATTAACCCTATCCTTAACCAAAAAGCAGCCCCATCCAACCTCGTGCATAGGCGAGTCCTGACCCTGATCCCTCTGGTTTATCCCCCCCCCCCCCCCCCTCCTTCCCCCTTTAGTGAGGGAGCTTCTGCAGAGTCGGCCCTTCAGTAGGTCAGCGCAGAATGCAATCTTGTGCAATTTTACAGAAGCCCTGAGCTAACAAATGAGACTGTGCAAAAGATGAATTTGTATGGCGTGTGCACGTAGGCGTGTGCGTGAGTCACTGTAATGCTGCCCGGTTCATTAAGGGCACGAAGGCAAACACAGCAGTCTTTACCAGATGTTGACTGCCTGCTTGCAGCATTAAGAAGGAATAAATAAATAGCTGGTAAGAGAGCCGCTCTGACTTTTTCCTCTTCCACAGCAGTATGGATAAACAGCCTACGGATCACACACAAATACACACACACACGGAGCAAAGTGTACCAGTGCAAATGGTAATGGTAAATCGACTGCATTTACATAGCACACACACACACACACACACACAAATCCCGGTAGGTAAGATGAAGTTCTGCAATATCAGTTAATCCTTCAGCAAAGATCAACTGGGAAGCGGTGGACAACAAATTAAATCAGACCATGTCAACTCCCTGAGGTGATTTGTGTGTGTTTGCCAGTGACTGTTAATCTTTGCTTGCCTGAAAGGTTGAAGGTTCTGCACGACATATGAACGTTCAGTACATGTGTGTACTGAGGAAAAGATTGAGAAGAGAGGGGAAGTCAGCTGTAATAAAGCGAGATGAGCTCAAACACACACACACATGATGAACACGCACACACACACAAAGTCAGAGCTCTCAGGCTGGTTAGGTAACTAATGGTGCCGGTGAGCTATCACTCCTGGAAGGAGAAACTTGGAAACTACCTGCAAAATAAAGTCATGCTCAGTGACTCCAGTCAACACAAATACACCAGCTCTGTTCTGGCAGGCGGAGACACATTTCTGAAAAGCAGAATACAAATCAAAAGGGAAAAAGGATGGCTCCACAAAATGCATCGCTTCCACAGTCCAGGTAACACTTCCTATCACAATGATGATAATGAACACATCCAGCTTGGGGAGCAACTGGCATTTAACAGGATTTCATAAGAAAACTAAAAAATGGGTAACTGTATTCCCTTATAGTTGCATAAAACAAAGAGGTGATTACATTACCGTTACATTGAATTACGGGATTTCTAGCAGGATTACAAAGAGAACTAAAAAGAGCATGCTGCCAGAATCTGCTTTATTGTTTTCACTGTCTTTGGTTCATTTGTTCTATTTGTAGTTCAGTAGGTGAACCTATGATCATACAATAGTTTGTGTGTTAAACTAAAACGCATCAGCTCAGATTGTATTTCTGCTTTTGAAACTGTAGTCTGTGCTCATGTGTTCCAGTGTTGGTGAATCGGCTGCCGCCTGAATATGCTGCATGATCTCTGAGCAGAGGGCACATGTCTGATACTAATGTTTCCTCTAAATCATTTATAATCACAACATAATGCATTATTCATTTATTTATTATAATTCATTAAAATTATGGGAATTATATAAACATTTATGTAATTATAAACTGCCATACAATATTTGAAAGTTATATTTATCAAGCTTTATGATTGAGTGTTTACACCATGATTACACAGGGCTTTAAGCAGATAATTACACGTCCCTCTCCCCACTACTTGAATGGGGAGAATGAAGGGAAAATAGAAAGCCTAGATTCAGGAGGTGCTAGATTACAGGCTCAACATGAACTGCTTACAAAAAGCAAGCAATTCTAATGCACATTCGAGGAAAAACTATTAATAAAAAATAAGCCGTTGAGCTGTCAGTCACCATTATTCCAAGTAGAGCAAATGTCTCTAATCTGAGCAGTCTCAGGACAGCTGCATTCTTGTCTAGAATTAGACATAAAGCATACAAGCAAAATGCCATTTTGGCATGATCCCAGGTTGTCATTTTAGATTGGTTGCTGCGCTCAAGTGGGCGTGTGTTATGTAATATGAGCCATAGGCAGATGCCAGGAGAGAGATGGAATTGTTGAGACAGTGATGGACACAGCCAGTATTTTGGTTGGAGATTTAAGTCTTTCTCCTTATCTATTTGTTACCCCTTGATAAAGTGAAACCAATGTGAGCTCAGTGCAGGTTTGTGGGATTAAGAAACAGACCAGAGTAGACCCAAGTGGGGCTGGGGAAAAGATTCAGGGGTGGCAGTAGCTCAGTCCGTGCAGATCCAGTCCTTGAACAGACGCAATCTGATTATCAGCGTCTTCTACAGGGTGGTTGTCTGACTAACATCTCTCAGTACTTTAAGCTTAACACTAAAAAAACAGAACTACTCTTCCTCCATCCCAGGTTACGACTATCCATCCATGACCTTTCTTTCCACCTCTGCACCTCTGTTGTTTCCAAGATTCAGACTGCAAGGAATCTGGGTGTGATACTGGAGGACCAACTGTCCTTCACTGCTAACATCGCTGCTACAGTCCTACAGGTACACTCTGTAAAACATCAGGAGACTAGTCCTCTGCTGACCCAGAAGGCCACGCAGGTCCTGGTCCAAGTTCTTCCTACACCCAGGATATGGTTGAACAATACACTCCACTACGTCGCCTACTGAACTTGCTTTAAGCTTTTGTCATTTCCCGTCCTGACTACCGTAACTCCCTCCTGGCTGGTCTACTCGAAAGTGCCATCCTGCCCGTGGGACCCAGGTGTTCTCAACTAAAACACGCCTGTTTTCTATTGTGGTTGCAAAATGGTGGAACAACCTTCCAATTGATAGCCGGACAACAGAACGTTTCACCTTTTAAATCACATTGAACATATTTGAAGTCTTTTAGCTCATTTGAAACTAATGCACGACTTGAAGAAGTTGTACCTGCAATTTTCCTGCTGTTCTGCGTTTGTATCTTCATTGTTTATTGCACTTATTGTAAGTGGATAAAAGCATCATCTTAATGTAATGTAATGTAATTTACGGATTAAGGGAAATCCTGCCAAGGTGCCCCTGATCAAAGCACTGCACCCCTACACTACTTCGTGGGCGCTCTATAGAAGCTGCATATACTAGGATGCTAAATGCAGAGTGTAAGTTCCACTGTATGTGCTCTGCATGTGTGTATATGGATGACGATAAATATTGGATTGAATTTGATTTCTTCATTTCAAGTCAAGTAATGAAATCCCCTAGCACAAATTAAACATGTTGTTTTGTTGATGGCCAAATGAGCCACACTAGTTGGACCCATATTGTCTCACACTTAGAGATGTTTAAATCCACCCTCATTTGAGTGAATTGCCTCAGTCCAAAAGTATCATGATAGAACGACAGCTCTGGGGAAATAATTATTCAGGAATGGTCAGGTTGTGTCGTACTGTTTGGGTAGGAACCGTTGTATCTTTCCAAAAATAAGACGGATCAAAGGCTAGAGACAACGCTCCAATGTAGCAATTTTAACAAGGTGTTCATATTTAAATGAGTATGTGCTTCTTCATGGAGAACAGGCTTGCCCCTATAATTGTCAGCTGCAAATCGTGCAAGAGGTGAGGGCTTGACAAGGAGAAGCAAATCAAACCTGACAGGTCTGAGATTTTTATACAAGAAATGTAGAAATAAATCTGTTGTATGGTAATATGCAAGTCTTCAGTTTTAATCTGGCTGCATTCATTCAATTGAATGACAT